AAAGAAGGTGGGGACCAGGTTTGCTGGTCCAATAGAGCCTGGTGTAACCACTGAGACTATGGCCCCTAGTTGCCCTTCAGGTCTGAAATTGAACCCACAACTGTGGTTTCCAGCCAAACAAAGTACAGGCATGTGAGTTAAACATTTACCTCAAGTAGACACACGCCCTGGAGAGAACAATCATGGGAGAAGGAAGGGCTGCTTATGCACAGGGAGATAGCTCAGGGTGCAGAAGAGTATGAAGGGATGGACACTGGGAGGAGGTAACTTTGGGGAGGAAGTGGAGGGGAGCTGCTGCATTGTAAATTTTGGTCAATGACACGAGACAAAGTATATGTGAACTGCTGTATGAAAAGTGAATTTACTCCGTAAATCTTCACCCAAATCCTAATAAAAATAAATAAATAAATAAAAGATATAAAATATATGGTTATTGGAGATTAAGCAATACTGTAATTTAATATTTCATTCTTAAATATCCCAAGTAATTTTAAAATTATGAGCAGGGAAACTTTATCACTATTTGACAACTCACAAAAAAAAAAAAATTCCCAACTACACATCCTCGGTTCTTTGGGAAATATGGAAGCGCTTTATAAGTAGTTGATTAATAGGCCGAGGGTGGAGAGCAACAAGTGTTGGAAAAGATGGGGAGAAACTGGGCTCCTTATACACTGTTGGAGGAAATTTAAAATGGTTCTGCTGCTTTGGAAAACAGTCTGGTATTTTCTCAAAAGTTGAACACAGAGTTAGCATATGAACCAGCAATTCCACTCCTAGGTATATACCCAAAAGAACGGAAAACATATCCATGCAAAATTTGTACAAGAATGTTCAAAGAAGATTAATAATACCCACAGGGTAGAAACAAACCATGTGTCCACCAACTGATGAGTGGATAAACAAAACATGCTATAGCCATACAATGAAATATTATTTGGCAATAAAGAAATGAAGTACTGATACATGCTACAACATGGATGAAACTTGAAAACATTGTGCTGAGTGAAAGAAGCCAGTCACATAAGATCACATATTATACGATTTCATTTATATGAAATGCCTAGAATAAGCTAGTAGATTAATGGTTGCCAGGAGGGGTCGCTATGAGTCGGACCCGACGCTACGGCAGTGAGTTTGGTTTGGTTTTGGTTTTCGGGGACAGAAGGAATGGACGGAAATGGGGAGTGTTTGTTAATGAGTATTTTTTATTAAGGTGACAGAAATGTTCTAAAATTGATTCTCGTAACGGTTTCACAGCTCTGTGAATATACTAGAAACCATAGTATAAGTTTTAAATAAGTGAATTATATGGTATGTGGGTTATATCTCAATGAACTGTTATTTAAAAAAAAAAAAGGCAGGGTGTGGGACTGGGATCTCCAGCAACCACTACATCCTGAAACTGGACTAACTCTGTTTCCACAGCCTGTGGCAGGGAGCCTACTAAGGAATGAGATGCTCCTTGCTGCCCACCTTCTTTAAAGATTCACAGGGCTGACCTCCATCAAGTCTTGTTTTATTTATGAGACGATAAGGTTGCAGTGAGCAATTCTGAAAGAAACCTATTTGGTATCACTTTTTAAAATATCAAATGGGTAACTCATCTCAGGAGGCAGAGGAAACTAGCTTAGAACAACCAGCTCTGACCAGATGATTTCCAACAGATATGGAGGTCAAATGGCCTGCATGTTACTGCATGTTAAAGCCCACATTCATGTTCACAGCCAGGCAGAACTGGCTTTTAAGAAAGGAAAAAGCAAAAAAAAAAAAAAAAGAAGAAGGAGGAGGAAAAAGCTGGGATGTTTGCTCAGAAAATATCCAAATTATCTCTCATCCTTATCAATACCCTAGGATGTGTGTGGTATATGGCACTTTACCAGGTGCTAGCCTCCTTACTTAGAACTATCTTCTTTAATCCTCACAACAACCCTATCAAAGAGATGGTATTACTCCCGTTTTATAGGCAAGGAAGCAAACTCAATTAAAATAGAGAGCATCTTAAAGACAGTCATTCTAGGTTGCATATCTGGCACCTGACAAAGATGTCGGGCTCCAGAGCCCATGGGCTCTCCACTATCCCACATGACCTCCATTTTCTGTGCATGAACAAGAGGAAAACTGCTTCTGTAAGTACTCAAGAGCACCCAGGGCAGAGGTTTCCAGTGACTTTGAGCCCACCTCCCCTGGCCCAGACCACCCCTGGCAGTTGGATGGATTTGTGGTCTAAGTCCCTGAAGTCAAGAGCAGACAAAAATGTATCCATCACTCACCAGGACAGACACAAACCTCAAGATAATTTGTTTTCCAATGGTTTCAGCTTCAAGTTCTGGTTTGGCATGGACTTTTTAACAACTAACAGCTGTAGGCAATTTTTACACAGAATAAAGACATCAATAAGGCAGAGAGAGTGGAATTTTCTTATGGAACAATAAGCTGTCTTCAAGATGAACAGAGAGCTGCCACCACAGGAGCTCTTCCTGCTGTAGGTCTCAGAATATGCTTGAAATGACTATGGCTGTGGATGCTTTCAGAGTCCAACCTCTGCCCAGCAGCTCCTCGACCACTGAGGTGGCTCACATCTACGAGCAGCACCTGTCTCCTCAGACTGGCTTTCAGTTTTAAAATATTTTAAGTGGGAAATAAAACCAAGCTCTAAATGCTTCTTTATTGCCATTCTTGATAGCTACAGGGGCACATGAGTCAGTGATGCTCCCTGGGAGAGGATTATTGCACCCCTTGTCTCAAAGACCTCAGGCTTGGCTATGTGACTTGTGGTGCCAACCCCATAGAAGGATGATAGAGCATCACCCTGTGACCTCAGGAGTGGCCATGCAATTTGCTTTGGCCAAAGAAGTGTGGGCAAAAGTGACATGTGTCAGTTCCAGCATAAGCTTGGTAAGCCAGTGAGCAGTTCACCATGTCTGTCTCTCTTCTTCCACCAGGCCTGGGTCTAGGATAGAGGACAGTGAGGAGCAAAACCACAGCTGACATACAGTTGGCATGCAACATTAGCAATGGATAAACCTCTGCTGTTGCAACCAATGCAGTTTTATTATCACAGCATACATTAGTTCATGATTGAAACAGCCACCTACCATTGATTCCCTCTACTTCTCTTCTCACCTTCAACTCCGTACACACAATCCACCTCCTCCAGAAGTCTCCCTGACCACCCTTCTCATCACCTTGCTCTACCCTCACAATATGTATACACATAATCTCTACAGAGATGGCACTGTGCCTTCTTCAATATGGGTCCTCCCTTGCTATTGAAAATGCTAGCTCTGCCGGGGCAGGCTCTAGTCTTCTATTGGGAACCTCTTCATTGGCACCTAGAACAGAGGTCTGCAAACAGTGGAGATGGGGGAGAAGGACACTGCAAATATTCAACATACGGCAATATATTCATAAAGTATAAACATGCTATCAAGAATCAACTCTTATTCCTGATCAATTCTGGTTGGTAATAGGTTCATTACTCAGCAGATACAAACTCAAGCATGAGCTTCATAGAACTCTATCACACACTGACTGATCTTTGTGCTTTATAGGTGAATTGTGGTCTGTAAGAGGTGAAGTGGCATGGTTGGTTCAGGTATTACCCCTATAGGGCAGTGAGACAACCTACATTAGTTTCTTAAGAGTCAAACAAAGTAACAGCCCTCTCTAACATCTACTGAACAAAATTAATGATCTTGTTAGAATGTACTCTGTAACAGAATGCTGGTAGTGATCAAGGCAACACAGAGTACCCAGGTAACATTTATTCGCACCCACTAAGGACCACTGCATATGTTCTCATTTAAACATCGCATCAAACCTAGCAGGCGGAAGGTTGGGCATTCCTACTTCCGTAGTGATACTGCCTCGGAAACCCAAGGAGGGTTCGCTATGAGTCGGGGCCGACTCAATGGCAAACAACAACAACAACAACATTCCAGAAAATAGACTTGACAAAGTGATCTCATTTTTTCCATGATTATATAGAAAATAAAGCCAGAGAAGTAAGTTAAACCAAGGTCTTCCTAATCTCCAGCCCAATACTTTTTAAACTACACTATAATAGCCTCTAAAATACAGAATGGCTAAAGCACTATTCCAGATATGCTTGAAAAAATAAAGTGAAGGGTACACTTACATCTCTTGATGAATGTCCTATACTAGATATTTCTCTTCAGTATAACCAAAAAACCTAAACCAAACCCACCACCACCAAGTAAATTCCAATTCATAGTGACCCTATCTATAGGAGAGAATAGACCTGTCCCATGGGGTTTCCAAGCATATAAATCTTTACAGAAGCAGGCTGCCTCCTCTTTCTCCCACAGAGCAGCTGGTGGGTTTGAACTACCAAATTTTGGTTAGCAGCCAAATACATTAACCACAGTGCCACCAGAGCTCCTTCACTTCAGTAATGGGATTCCAAAATATGATAGTATCTGTAAAAAGCTTCCCACAACAGTTATTATTCCAAGCCTATCATTAGGCTAAATAATAATACTGTACTTAGGTAATAATGTCTTTCATCAAAAGATCAAGGACAGGAGGGGTAGTATGACTAATTTTTAAAAAGACATATTAATATTATACATTGGGAGTATAACTAGGGAGGGCATTTGGGAATCCCCAGAGGTGTGAAGCAGATGAGGAAATTATTTAATGCACATGAAAGTATAGACTTGGTTGGGATAGGAAGGGATTCAGAAGAATAACTTGGAACGTAGTACTGCTTCATATTTGAAGATCTAAAGAGTTACAGAGTGGATTTATTCCCCCACCTATTCAATAAAAGCACAATGAGGCAGAAATGCTGCCCTCTTCTTTCTCCTCCCTCTCCACTGGCTCAGTGCTGCTAGTGGTGGTGTACACGTAAGGGGATGATGGGGGCAGCTTTCCTGAAGAGGGAAAGCCCATGGCTAACCAAACCATCTGTATCCTCTCTTCTTCATCTGCCTCCCTGGCTTCAACCTATGAAGGGATGGAAATCTGAGACTCACCACAAGTTCACTGAACATGACATCCAGCTCCTCCACAGGGGGCATGGGCAATGCTGGTTCCATGGTCTGAAGCGCAAAGTTGCTGTTGTTTCGTAGCCTGTACGTGATTTCTGGGTGGTCATTATTTCGGAAACAGCAAAAGATGAAAGAAATCCCTCGTCCACCTCTCTTCCTTGGGGCCATGACTGTATTCTGTTCTATTTCTTGAAGTGACTAAACTCTGTGGGAAGAACACATGAAGAGTGTAAGAATGTAAGAATGGATAAAAGAATTAAAAAAACAAACATCAATTCATGAAAGAGCACCCTGTAGGGCATAGAGAGGACCAATCCAAAAGAATGTGGAATGTAGTTGTACAGACAGCACATGTACTTCTATTCACTTGTTAAAATGTTTCACATGACCAACTGCTGAGCAAACAGTACAAAACTGCAGCCACTCCACCCCACAACATACACTCTAATTGCACTGGGCTGCTGCCCATTCTTTATACATCACATGCCCTTTCCTGCTGACCTGTTTTGTTCTTGTTACTCCCCCTGTAAGAATGACCTTCTCTCCCTTGGAAATCCCTTGGGAGATGAGTTTAAACTCATCATTTAAAGCCCAGTTCCAATTTCCCTGTCTTTACCATCCCCACATGGGATTAATAATATGCTAAGGCATATGTATCCATTCCAACACGTGTCACATTCTAAATTATTTATGGGTATGTCTCCCTGATACATTGTGATAACTCAAAGGAAGGATCTGTGCATCAAGCAACTTTGTGGCTCTAATGCCCTGTACAGTACCAGGAAGATAGGAGGCACTCAGCAAATATTTATGACATTGAATAATTTAAATTCATAACAATGAAAGAGGAACTTAACATGAGCTAAAAGGGCAAGAGACTTTCAAACAGCAAAGATTCAAATGAGTTCACCAATAGGAAAATAGTTAAATAAATTATAATATATTCACATAATAGAATATTATGCACTGATTAAGAAGAACAAGACATCTACACATGGAACAATCTTTAAGAGGCTAAATGATAGATACACTATATATATGTATTATATACAATCAAACAAAACTCACTGCCATCGAGTCGATTCCGACTCATAGCGACCTCCATTGAGTTTCCAAAGCTGTAAATCTTTACAGAAGCAGATCATGTCATCTTTCTTCTGCAAAGTGGCTGCTGGATTCGAACCACTGACCCTTTGGTTAGTAGCCAAATTCCTTAACCACTACACCACTAGAACTCCATATTATATACTGTAGGATTGTATCTTTAAAAGAATGCATGTCTTATTTATGAATATATGTAAGAAAATGTTAGCAGCCATAATCTCTAAAACAAAGTAGGAAATTAGAGAACTTTTCATTTCACTTTACACTCTTTTAAATGTGAATGTTTACCACAAAAACATGTTTTTAATCATTTGTATAGTCTTAAAAAGTTATAAGTACATTCATTGGAAAAATTTCAAAGTGACAATGTCCAATGAACTAAGTAAATCAAAGAACAATGCTTATAGCATAATGCCATTATGTCTTTTCAAAACAGTTTCATACATAAACTTAAATCATTTATATGTGACTCTGAGGAAGGAGAAGGGAATGGGAAAAGGCAAAAAGGGGAATATTCTTTTTATGCATTTTATTATTTCTTTAATAATAAGCACATATTCATGCATAGCTTTTTTTGATTTTTCATTTTGAAAAAGAGATTTAAAAAAGAAAACGTTGGAACATAAATTGGCACTTCACGTTGGAAGAGCAGAGGAGGAGAAAGGCATCTCCAGCAGGGAAGGTGGCAGGAACAAAGGCACAAATGCAAGGGAGGTTAGCAAGACCCAAGAGACAGGACAGATGGAGGCAGCACGGGAGCTCAGATTGGAAAGGTGGACTGGTGACAAACTGGAGAATCTTAAATCCAGGTTGACTAGTCCACATTTATCCCACACTCCAGTCACTCTCTATCCATTTACCCTGGGTGATTATCTTCATGGAAGCTACCACAATTTGAAATTATCTTACTTGATTATTTCATGAGGCCAGGAGCACTGGATAATTTGTTTATTACTGTGCTCCAATCCCTGACACAGTACATGGGACACATACACTCATATATTTATTGGATGAATAGTGAACTTTTATATAAAATCTAATTTAAAGAAAGGGCTCTACATCACAACGATTTAAAAACTATGGGACATGAGGTTAAAAGTCAAGGGAGTCTTAACCCTTTCCTGACCCATGGGACATATATCGCCCACCAACATTGTTAGCCACACTGATTTCTTACGAAGCTGCTATCCCACTTGCAGTATGTGCTACTGTCTGACGGGGACCTGTATAACTGCATGAATGTGAGGAAATGGGCCTCACTCCACCAATCCGACCAGAGTCTGCTTGGGACATATGTATCCCACAAAATTGTATCAAAATCTTTATTACTGCCAAAAAATATTTTCCCCCTTGATTCCAGCATGCCTTCCATTAATGAAACACAAAGTGTCACAAAAAATTCAAAGCAGAAAATAATTTGGTCATAAAATAGTTAAGCTTTATCTGTAATATATTAAGTTTTAAAATAATAATAATAAACCATTGCCATTGAGTTAATTCTGACTCACAGCGACACTACAGAACAGAGAAGAACTACCACAGGATTTACAAGGCTATGAATCTTTATGGAGGCAGCAACAGGACCGGACAGTGTTTTGTTCTCCTGTACACAGGGTCACTATGTGTTGGAGTCAACTTGATGATACCTAAAAACAACATGCACACCAAAAAGAAACTAGAAGCAAGCTTGTCAACATTTAACAGTGGTCAGTTTTAGGTAATGAGAAAATGAATGATAGTTTCCTTTGAACTTTGTTTTTGGTTTTAAATTTCAAAAGTAAAATCCAACCCCATTTTGGCACCTCTTCCACATCACGAAGTCCAATTTCAAACTTTGTCACCAATTATTTATTTTTTGTAATTACAATGATAATGCAAACTGGGAAAACAGTTATCACATGTAAAAAGTCAAGCTCTTCTTTCACATTATTAAGGGATAGTAGTCTCTGAAAATCTAGCAACTGGAAGTCTTTGAGAATGAGAAGGGAAGAGAAAAGTTTAGAGTGAGGTGTCCATCATGGAGCTCTCGATGATGCTCTGACTGGCTCTGAAATAGACTGAGCCAACCCACCCAATATCCCATTTTATTGAAGCACTCATGTCCTGGCCTCGAGTGTACATGTGCAAGATTCTATGAGGCATATGCAGTAATATGCAGTTCCCGGGATTCCTTTGCCTAACATTTATTAATTCTATGTACCAGACCTGACAGATACTAGGCTCTAAGAATACAGAAACGAATGAGTCACTAGGAGCTTATAATCTGTTGGGAGAGTACAGTGCATCACCTAACAATTGTTATTAGTTGCTGTGGAGTAGATTCCAACTCATGGTGTGTCATACCAGTACTATGCAAACCAAGCAGGAAGTGCCTAGGGGAGAACCTGAGAATGGTCCCTGGTGGATGAGTGAGGTTTCGATAGAAAATGGAGGAAAGTGCATTTAAGCAGAGCGAACAGCGCAAAGGTCTGAGGTAGAAAAGGCATGAAGTAGTAGGAATGAGTGGTGTTATTGTCCAGCCTGTGCCATTCACCACCAACTTCCCAAGTAGGGTCCTGCTCAAAACCCTCCAAGGCTTCCCAGTACCATTCCAAATAAGCATTCAGTGCTACATCAAATGAGATTCTAATTCAATTCTTCTGGGTTTTCTATTTCCTTGAAAAAAATCCTGTATTTTAGGCAACAGTCTATTTTCCATTCCCCATAAACATCTTGCATTCCTGTCACCTTCTACCCAAGCGGTCCACTCATTCATTTCTGCCCCTTATCTTTGTCTGCCAACATCCTCCCCACGCTAATGGTACCATCCGGGAGTACCCAGTGGGTAAGCCACATCCACTGCTGCGGGAAGCTGAAAACTGGTTCAACATTTCTGAAGGGAAATTTATCAAAGCGTTAAAATAGTTTTTGACCTGGTAGTCCTACCTCTGGAACTTTATTCTAAAGAAATATTCAGTGATGCTATCAAAGATGTTTTCACAAAAATGTTCCAAGCATTATTTGAAATAACAAATAAATGAGGTCACAAACTAAGTGCTAGTAATAGAGGACTGGGTAAATAAATTATGGTACAACTAGATGATAGTCGATTTTGATTCATAGTGACTCCCACTGGGTTTCCAAGGCAGGAAATCTTTATAGAAATAGATTGTCCAGTCTTGCTTCTGCAGAGTGGTTGGTGGGTTTGAACCACCAGCCTTCTGGTTAGAAGTCAGATGCCTTAGCTGTGCTACCAGAGCTCCTTTTTGGTTTTTTGGTAGATGATAGGTCACCAAGAATATTTAATGACATGGGAATACTTATAATATGTAAGTATAGGTATACAATGTCCCATTTTTGTAGGAAAAAAATTACATCAATGAGCAGAAAAAAAGGACAAGAGAAGTTCATCAAAAGGGGAGCAGAAGTGAGCTCTGTGTCAGACTTGTGGGTTCATTTTTTCACTCTTCTGCACTTTTCAAGTTGTTTTTACAAGAAAGATATACATTTTGGAATTAATTAAATGAGATGAGATGAGATTTTAAAATAATATTCTATATGATTATTTGTATTTGAAGGGAAATGTATATGCAAAAATATTCCTATCCAAAATATCCAAATTCTGGAGATCTACACACCACCTTCTCAAACTATCTGTAAAGGACCAGTTGTTTTCCTTCCAATCTGTTACAAAATGATATTTTTGCAAAATATAGTATAAATACCTTCAAACAAAAAAAAAAAACTCACTGCCATCAAGTCAGATCTGACTCATAGTGACCCCTCCTTGGATTTCTGAGGCAGTATCACTCTGAAAGTAGATCGCCCAACCTTCCTTCCAAGGAGTGGCTAGTGGGTTTGAATCGCCAGCCTTCTGGCTAGCAGTCAAATGCCTTAAGCACTATGCTACCAGAGCTCTACAAATACCTTAGCAATGTTAAATTGCTATAAAAATTTCTGAAAGCTTAATATCAATTCTGGTACACTATGTGATGCAGCATGGGTAGGCAGCAATAGCACAGATCCATACCAAGAAACGGGAGACAAGACTTAGCTCGTTGGCACAATGTCTAAGGCCTTTGACTGCTAACCAAAAGTTTGGCAGTTGAAACCCACAAGTCA